GAGACGGAGTCGAAAACAAAAATCCAGAAAATCACATTGTATGATTTTTAAGTAATTAATTTGCATTTTATTGCATGACATAAGTATTTGATCACCTACCAACCAGTAAGAATTCTGGCTCTCACAGACCTGTTAGTTTTACTTGAAGAAGCCCTCCTGTTCTCCACTCATTACCTGTATTAACTGCACCTGTTTGAACACGTTACCTGTATAAAAGACACCTGTCCACACACGCAATCAAACAGACTCCAACCTCTCCACAATGGCCAAGACCAGAGAGCTGTGTAAGGACATCAGGGATAAAATTGTAGACCTGCACAAGGCTGGGATGGGCTACAGGACAATAGGCAAGCAGCTTGGTGAGAAGGCAACAACTGTTGGCGCAATTATTAGAACATGGAAGAAGTTCAAGATGATGGTCAATCACCCTCGGTCTGGGGCTCCATGCAAGATCTCACCTCGTGGGGCATCAATGATCATGAGGAAGGTGAGGGATCAGCCCAGAACTACACGGCAGGACCTGGTCAATGACCTGAAGAGAGCTGGGACCACAGTCTCAAAGAAAACCATTAGTAACACACTACGCCGTCATGGATTAAAATCCTGCAGCGCACGCAAGGTCCCCCTACTCAAGCCAGCGCATGTCCAGGCCCGTCTGAAGTTTGCCAATGACCATCTGGATGATCGAGAGGAGGAATGGGAGAAGGTCACATGGTCTGATGAGACAAAAAATTGAGCTTTTTGGTCTAAACTCCACTCGCCGTGTTTGGAGGAAGAAGAAGGATGAGTACAACCCCAAGAAAACCATCCCAACCGTGAAGTATGGAGGTGGAAACATCATTATTTGGGGATGCTTTTCTGCAAAGGGGACAGGACAACTGCACCGTATTGAGGGGAGGATGAATGGGGCCATGTATCGCGAGATCTTGGCCAACAACCTCCTTCCCTCAGTAAGAGCATTGAAGATGGGTCGTGGCTGGGTCTTCCACAATGACAATGACCCGAAACACACAACCAGGGCAACTAAGGAGTGGCTCCGTAAGAAGTATCTCAAGGTTCTGGAGTGGCCTAGCCAGTCTCCAGACCTGAACCCAATAGAAAATCTTTGGAGGGAGCTGAAAGTCCGTATTGTCCAGCGACAGCCCCGAAACCTGAAGGATCTGGGGAAGGTCTGTATGGAGGAGTGGGCCAAAATCCCTGCTGCAGTGTGTGCAAACCTGGTCAAGACCTACAGGAAACGTATGATCTCTGTAATTGCAAACAAAGGTTTCTGTACCAAATATTATGTTCTGCTTTTCTGATGTATCAAATACTTATGTCATGCAAATTAATTACTTAAAAAATCATACAATGTGATTTTCTGGATTTTTGTTTTAGATTCCTTCTCTCACCGTTGAAATGTACCTATGATAAAAATTACAGACCTCTACATGCTTTGTAAGTAGGAAAACCTGCAAAATCTGCAGTGTATCAAATACTTGTTCTCCCCACTGTATATACTGTATTCTATTCGTATATTAGTATATGTTTATCTTTTAAAAATATATTTTCCTTTATTATTTTCCACTAACCCTACCACCTCTCCCCTAATTGGAGTAAACTGAAGCACAACAACACTTAGGCTTCTACTTCCAGCTTATACATACTTTATACATTTTACTGACACAATCTATTTTACAATAGTTATATTTTGTTTGTTTTTTTGTATTGTCCTTCCTCTACCCTCAACCTCTCCCATCTATTTCTGATGTCCATCCAGTTTGATTTTTGGTCTTTAATGCAGGGCTGACAGACAAGTTCCTTACTTTTTCCCCCTTCCACTTGCCTCTTCCATTTTTGTGGTAATGCTGCAATTAGTTGTTTGTAATTTTGGGTAGAGCAGACATTTCAATATATTTTTGTTAGCTGCATGTGTGACATAACTCCACACTATTTATGATATCATTTACAAAGATTATACCTTTTTTAAACATTGTATTGAAAATTAGTATATATTTTATCAATTAGTATATTTGAGTTTACCCACAATATTTGTTGTATTATTTGTTCTGTCTTTTCTGGTGGATTAAACTGAAATTGCACACTCTTACCAATTAAGACACACAGGACCACTCCACACATTTCTTGTTAACAAACTATAGTTTTGGCAAGTCGGTTCGGACATCTACTTTGTGCGTGACACAAGTACTTTTTCCAACAATTGTTTACAGACAGATTATTTCACTTAATATTCACTGTATCACATTTCCAGTGGTTCAGACGTTTACATACACTAAGTTGACTGTGCCTTTAAACAGCTTGGAAAATTCCAGAAAATGATGTCATGGCTTTAGAAGCTTCTGATAGGCTAATTGACATAATTTGAGTCAATTGGAGGTGTTCCTGTGGATGTATTTCAAGGCCTACCTTCAAACTCAGTGCCTCTTTGCTTGACATCATGAGAAAATCAAAAGAAATCAGCCAAGACCTCAGAATTTTTTTTTTTGACCTCCACAAATCTGGTTCATCCTTGTGAGCAATTTCCAAATGCCTGAAAGTACCACATTAATCTGTACAAACAATAGTACGCAAGTATTAACACCATGGGACCACGCAGCCGTCATACCGCTCAGGAAGGAGACGCATTCTGTCTCCTAGAGATGAACGTACTTTGGTGCGAAAAGTGCAAATCAATCCCAGAACAACAGCAAAGGACCTTGTGAAGATGCTGGAGGAAACAGGTACAAAAGTATCTATATCCACAGTAAAACGAGTCCTATATAGATATAACCTGAAAGGCCGCTCAGCAAGGAAGAAGCCACTGCTCCAAAACTGCCATAAAAATGCCAGACTATGGTTTGCAACTGCACATTGGGACAAAGATCGTACTTTTTGGAGAAATCTCCTCTGGTCTGATGAAATAAAAATAGAACTGTTTGGCCATAATGACCATCGTTATGTTTGGAGGAAAAAGGGGGGCGCTTGCAAGCCGAAGAACAACATCCCAACAGTGAAGCACGGGGGTGGCAGCATCATGCTGTGGGGGTGCTTTGCTGCAGGAGGGACTGGTGCACTTCACAAAATAGATGGCATCATGAGGAAGGAAAATTATGAGGATATATTGGAGCAACATCTCAAGACATCAGTCAGGAAGTTAAAGCTTGGTCGCAAATGGGTCTTCCAAATGGACAATGACTCCAAGTATACTTCCAAAGTTGTGGCAAAATAGCTTAAGAACAACAAAGTAAAGGTATTGGAGTGGCCATCACAAAGCCCTGACCTCAATCCTATAGAACATTTGTGGGCAGAACTGAAAAAGCGTGTGTGAGCAAGGAGGCCTACAAACCTGACTCAGTTACAGCAGCTCTGTCAGGAGGAATGGGCCAAAATGTACCCAATTTATTGTGGGAAGCTTGGGAAGGCTACCCAAAACATTTGACCCAAGTTAAACAATTTAAAGGCAAAGCAATCAAATACAAATTGAGTATATGTAAATGTCTGACCCACTGGGAATGTGATGAAATAAATAAAAGCTGAAATAAATAATTCTCTCTACTATTGTTCTAACATTTCACATTCTTAAAATAAAGTGGTGATCCTAACTGACCTAAGACAGGGAATTTTTACTAGGATTAAACGTCAGGAATTGTGAAAAACTGAGTTTAAATGTATTTGGCTAAGGTGTATGTAAACTTCCGACTTCAAATGTATATAATGAAAAATTATGTACAGTGAGGGAAAAAAGTATTTGATCCCCTGCTGATTTTGTACGTTTGCCCACTGACAAAGACATGATCAGTCTATAATTTTAATAGTGGGATTTTTAGAACCGTGAGAGACAGAATAACAACAAAAAAATCAAGAAAAACGCATGTCAAAAATGTTAGAAATTGATTTGCATTTTAATGAGGGAAATAAGTCTTTGACCCCCTCTCAATCAGAAAGATTTCTGGCTCCCAGGTGTCTTTTATACAGGTAACGAGCTGAGATTTGGAGAACACTCTTAAAGGGAGTGCTCCTAATCTCAGTTTGTTACCTGTATAAAAGACACCTGTCCACAGAAGCAATCAATAAATCAGATTCCAAACTCTCCACCATTGCCAAGACCAAAGAGCTCTCCAAGGATGTCAAGAACAAGATTGTAGACCTACAAAAGGCTGGAATTGGCTACATGACCATCGCCAATCAGCTTGGTGAGAAGGTGACAACAGTTGGTGTGATTATTATTATTAATCTCTCACTGTTCAAATAAACCTACCATTCAAATTATAGACTGACTGATCATTTCGTTGTCAGTGGGCAAACGTACAAAATCAGCAGGGGATCAAATAATTTTTTTCCCTCACTGTACATAAACACAACATCAAATCAAATCAAATCAAATTGTATTATAAGACCCTGGTGAGGACAACGAGCACGCAGATGAGCTTCCCTGAGACGGTGTCTGACAGTTTGTGCAGAAATTCTTCGGTTGTGCAAACCCACTGTTTCATCAGCTGTCCAGGTGGCTGGTGTCAGACGATCTCGCAGGTGAAGAAGCCGGATGTGGAGGTCCTGGGCTGGTGTGGTTACACGTGGTTTGCGGTTGTGAGGCCGGTTGGACGTACTGCCACATTTTCTAAAACAATGCTTATGGTAGAGAAATTATCATTAAATTCTCTGGCAACAGCTCTGGTGGACATTCCTGCAGTCAGCATGCCAATTGTACGCTCCCTGAGCTGTTGAGACATCTGTGGCATTGTGTTGCTTGGCCTTTATTGTCCCCCAGCACAAGGTGCACCTGTGTAATGATCATGCTTTTGAATCAGCTTCTTGATATGCCACACCTGTCAGGTGGATGGATTATTTTGGCAAAGGAGAAATGCTCACTAACAGCGATGTAAACAAATTTGTGCACAAAATCTGAGAGAAATAAGCTTTTGTGCATATGGCAAAGTTCTGGGATCCTTTATTTCAGCTCATGAAACATGGGACCAACACTTTACATGTTGCGTTTATATTTTTGTTCAGTATAAATGCATATCCCCATAAAACTGATTGAGATCAAATGTTTGGCATGCCGATGCTGCATGGACGTGTCAACGGTAAAACTTGAAGAATTATTATTAATAATTGACAGTTACAAATGTTTGCGGTATAGAAACACATGCACAAAACGTTATTCGGATCTTCAGCTCTAGGGAAAAGGTATCCAGGGGGACGGGACAGGGTGGTTACATATACAGATCCACAGCCTCTGCCTAATTTTATTGGGCCTCTTTTAGGGTTAAAAACAATAGTCCCAGTTAAAATTAGCATGATAGCTAAGTAAGAAATCTGCTAAACAATTGTATTCTGAATATGTGAATGTGAATGAAATGTTCTGGGAAAATCAATAACAAGTTGATATTTTCTGTGAAAATGAATTGCATTACGGTATGGGTTTGAATTCCAGCCTATAGTATTGATTTGAGTCCAAAGTCAAAGTTGTGCATGTATGCACATTTGTTTTGGAAACATGACGGTAAAAAAACATCAGAAATACATTGACAAACCGAAACAGGAAATATGGAGATCAACATTTGTTAATGAAAATATCAGTCAAAAAGAGAGTTTATAAAACATTTTCCCAACCGAAAATAAAGAAATCTCAAATAGGTGGCTATGATTTCACATATTTTATATTTGATATTCCTAATTTCATTCATTGTAATTTTGTTGGATAATCACACTCGTAGTTAATAACAACCAAATGTATGTAAATTATGCACACCATCCTTAAGTGCAAATTAAATTGTCTTATTCCATGTTTTTTTTAAATCTGTATCAAAGGCAAAACATGTATCTTTCAGTGACCATGTACTGTATGTCTGGAAGGTATTGTACGTTATGATTGTTTTATCACAATATTTATTAAGTGTACTGTATGTGGAGCAAATTGGTAAATTCATTGTAATGTAAACATAAAAGTGTTTGTGTGCCTGTGTGTTTATATACATTTTATTTGTATTTTTCATGCACATACACATACACACGCACGTACGCACACACAAACAAACAAACCACATCGAAGAAAAAAATTACGTAATAGAAAAACGTCTCTGAAGAAAATAAAAAGGGAGGAGTGGGTAGTGGTACCACCCGGTAAAGAAGCTTTCTTGAATTAGCACTTCCTCTCTTCCCAGTGTAAAAAAGTCTTAAATCCTCAGTCTTATCCATAATCTGACTTGGTCTTCTACCAACCAGCCCCTTATTCACAATGTAAGGCCCTGACCCACGATGCACAGGTCTGGGTACGAAGCAGAGTGGATATTCCCTCTGAAATCTGATTGGCTGTCCCACAACTCGTCATCTCTGCTTGGCTCGTCCTCCAGCCTATGGGAGTAAAGCGAAGAAGTGGTTTGAGGATTAGAGAAATGGGACAGGTGGGTCAGCAACCAGTTCTCACCGGCTAAAACAAGCTACCGTGAGTCATAGAGAGGTAATGCAGAAGTGATTAGCTAGTTTTGCCTAGCTCAGATCAGGAACAGTGCTACTATAGTCTGCATGGATGAGACAAATAGACAGCACACAAAAACCCAGTGTTATGATTTCACAGTGGCAAGATCAGAATAAAAAACACAGAAATACAGTATAAATTACATTGTAATTAAAAATGGCACTGTCAGGGTACTTTAATTATTTTGTAATGCTATTTTATATTTAGCGTCAGTTTTGTATCTGCTGTAATCTCTTTACGGCTCTTCCATTTTTAATACAAAGCTCCCCTCTCTCCTCTCCTTGACCTTATTTCACCCTCCCCTCTCACCCTCTGTCTTTATCTTTCAAGGCAGTCGATACGAAGCTGGTCAATTTGTTGGCACTAAATGAGCAAAATCCAAACAAACTTGTTTTGCAGCATTTGAAGTTACACACTTTAGCCATTTTCTATGTAAGACTGGGAAACTACAGACCTTTTGTTGTGTGTCTTTGTGTTTTTGTCGCACAGGACCAATTTTCTGTCAGTATAAGTAGCATTACATTTTTTTTTTACTCCTTCAAGCCTTACTAAAAACACTGCACTTGGGGCTTGTTTTTACAATGTTTTGATTCTCCAATAGTTGAGGACTTAGGTGACCAGAAGTAGTTTTCTAGTGTCTTGTGATTTTGTCGCCCATATTGGTCATTGAACTCAAGTGACAATAATGGTTATGTATAATCTTCAAGAAAAATTTCCTCTCATAGCTCAACGAAACCAGTAGGCTTCAAGCAAATTAAATAATTATGTTTTCATAGTGTGTTAATTCATTAAATTAGCCCTCTAATATTATTGTCTGAATCAGACTGAATTCACAAAAAGAGTCAAGGCTGCACTTTGAAACACCATTGCGGTGATTAAATACTTCCTCTAAACTTATTTTCAACTTCAGGTATGAGATAAAATGATGGTGAAAATCTGAAGTGGAAATCTTTTAACTTCTTTAACATGCAACACAATAAGCTAACTTAAAGACGTCCTTCAGTGATTTTTGAACTTTTCCTGTTGAAAAGTGATATCCCAAGTATACAGTAAAGTACACACACTAAAGGGTAAACAAACATGTTTTGAGCAAAATAGTGTTTTTTAGACACAACTGCAAACTTCAAGGAGTAGGGCATTCAGGGACTTGGTCTGATCAGAATTTGTAATGTCATCGGCCTCCCCCCTTTTATTATTTCATTTTGTTGGCCCATCCACCACTCTCTTTGAAGGACAAAAGCAACTTGGTTTTTACATTTTAGTTTTTACAGGTTTTTTGTTACATATACACTACCGGTCAAAAGTTTTAGAACACCTACTCATTAAAGGGTTTTTCTCTATTTTTTACTATTTTCTACATTGTAGAATAATAGTGAAGACATCAGAACTATGAAATAACACATATGGAATCATGTAGTAACTAAAAAAGGGTTAAACAAATCAAAATATATTTGAGATTCTTCAAATAGCCACCCTTTGCCTTGATGACAGCTTTGCACACTCTTGACATTCACTCAACCAGCTTCACGTGGAATGCTTTTCCAACAGTCTTGAAGGAGTTCCCACATATGCTGAGAACTTGTTGGCTGCTTTTCCTTCACTCTGCGGTCCGACTCATCCCAAACCATCTCAATTTGGTTGAGGTCGGGGGATTGTGGAGGCCAGGTCATCTGATGCAGCACTCCATCACTGTCCTTCTTGGTAAAATAGCCCTTACACAGCCTGGAGGTGTGTTGGGTCATTGTCCTGTTGAAAAACAAATGATAGTCCCACTAAGCCCAAACCAGATGGGATGCCGTATCACTGCAGAATGCTGTGGTAGCCATGCTGGTTAAGTGTGCCTTGAATTCTAAATAAATCACAGACAGTGTCACCAGCAAAGCACCCCCACACCATAACACCTCCTCCTCCATGCTTTACGGTGGGAAATACACATGCAGAGATCATCTGTTCACCCACACCACGTCTCACAAAGACATGGTGGTTGGAACCAACCCCCCCCCCCCCCCCCCCCCCCCCCTTGTCACAACACAACTGATTGGCTTAAGAAGGAAATAAATTCCACAAATTAACTTTTAAGAAGGCACACCTGTTAATTGAAATGCATTCCAGGTGACTACCTCATGAAGCTGGTTGAGAGAATGCCAAGAGTGTGCAAAGCTGTCATCAAGGCAAAGGGTGGCTATTTGAAGAATCTCAAATATAAAACATATTTTGATTTGTTTAACACTTTTTTGGTTACTACATGATTCCACATGTGTTATTTCATAGTTTTGATGTCTTCATTATTATTCTACAATGTAGAAAATAGTAAAAATAAAGAAATACCCTTGAATGAGTAGTTGTGTCCAAACTTTTTATTGGTAGTGTATATTTTACACACATTTTACATACATTTTACATGCTGTACATGGTACTTTTTTTACACAGTTAAATAACAAAGGAATAGTTTTTTTTATATATATACACACATAATATTTTGGATTCATGAGCTTTTTAAACCCAGCCCTCTGCTACTCTCAGCCCATCCCACCTATCTATCATAGACCACCCCCTTTTGATTTCCACGCGCCATATATTTTTCAACTGTGCTGTGATGTCTCACTTGAACTTTCAACATCTAATCGGATGGTATCCATAGTATCCTACCCCCTTGCTTGAGGAACAACAGCGGAGCAATAGAGAATTGAAAGACGACTCCGTCGTGAAAGCTGTGAGTCCACTGGGTCCCACCGAACCACTCCTTACAGTTCTATTGGCAGCAATGCTAGCCCAGTCCAGTAAGGGGCAACAAGGCAAATGTTTATTAAGAAAGTGAGCCCCAGCAACTCCCTAAACTCCATAGACTTGGTGTGCCCCATAATGGGTAAAGGAACTGCCTACTTAGACGATTGTGAGGAGGAAGAGGATGATGATGATGAGGGGGAAGAAGAGGGAGAAGGTGGCACAAACGATCTAACTCCTCACTATCTGATCCTAACCAGCAACCTTGTCGCCTGGCACCCATGCGCATAGAGAACCCTCAAAATGTGGAAATGACCCTGAAAAGGGGAAATACCAAGACAGGTCTCACTAAACAGAACCCGGGAGATGCTGCGAAGTCCCCAGCATCCAATCATCTACGCCCCACCCTGCAGAAGAACAACAACACTCTTCCAATCCAGGACAAGGCAGGGCTTATGAAGCGTCACTCCGGGGAACAGAGGGCAGGCAAGGACATTGAGGAGGAAAATAAAAAGAAAGACAAGAAAACCACCAAGGGGCCGTTGAAAGCCACCCCACCTACATTGCCTTTTGTGAAGTAAATCAGGTGTTAAATGAGGTGAAAAGGAGACTGGAGTGCCACTTTAACTTCAGAGGTCAAGCATTTATATATTTGTGATTTGTAATAAAAGTTGTACTCATTCATAGAGCACTGACACGTCAGTTGTCTCCATTGTGAAATAAATGAAGAAAGTTGTATATGGTGGAGCAAAAAAGTGACCATACATGTACTGTACAGTATTTTCTGACTACTTTCACATAGCGAGATAAGTGATTCAGATGTTTTGCTTTTGTTCATAGAATTTACTAAAACAGGTAGCCTCAAGGTTAGAGCGTTGGGCCAGTAACCGGAAAATTCGCTGGTTTGAATCCCGGAGACAAGGTAAAAACTCTGTTGCTGTGCCGAGCAAGGAACTTAACCCCAATTGCTCCAGGGGTTGCTAGACAATGGTGACCGTGACCCCACTCCCTGTGGGTGTCTCAGGGGGAGTTGGGATATGCAAGAAACACATTTCCATTACACACTTGTTTGTAACAGGACAAATATATGCAAATTATTATTAACAGGATGATAATCACATTATGAAAACAGTCAATTTTCTTGGTTCATATTGTTTCCCTTTTTGTGATCCTATACTGTGCTACAGTGGAGAGGGAGTGCTGACTAGAAATATAGTGACAAGAGGCTTTTCCCTGCTTTGAATAAAACTAATACACATTGCAACATCCTTAATCACGGGCATATCTTTCATTTGCAAGACAATTAATCAGCATTATCTTGCGTTTTGAAAGAGAGATTTCGAGAGAGGGAAACATTGACACTCACCCTTGTGTGCTGATGGCTGGTTCACTCCCACAAGTCTCTGCAAATGAGACGATGGGTGCCCTGGACGGCAGGGTTAGACTGGGCCTCCTGTCTGAGTGGCTGCGTCGGATGAAAAGCTTGGGCCCTTGCACAGACATAGGGAGCCTACCACGATCTCCCCAGGATCGCGGGACAACACTACCACTGGTGGAGGCCCAAGCCTGGGGGGGGCGGGGTACGGGGCAAGGCTGGGCCTCAAACAGTGAGGACGAGGCCGGGCAGAAAACAGAGCGAGCGTTACTGATAAACTGAGAGATAACTGAGGCCCCTGGGCTGGAGTCCTTGCTGCTGTTCTCCCGTCTCCATCTTTGTACCCTTGGGGACGCTGGTGGTGAGGGTGCCTTGAAAGAATGTGTGGAGCCAGAAGAGCTGGAGTTTGGGGTCAATACTTGTCTTGAGGCAGGTGGGCTTGGAAGTCTTCTCTGAAGCGTTGGTGGGGTGGGAAGTTTGCAAATGACCGAAGGGCTGTTTGAGGATGGAGGCATAGGCTGCTTTCTGAAGGTGGTGGGACTGGGTAGCCGTCGATGCAAGCCGCTTGGGGTTGAAGGCGTGGAAGGCAGCATTCGGGTTCTAGATACAGGCGGGGTGGCAGGTGGTTGGCTACTGACTGTTGAAGTGGGAGGCACTGTCTCAGAGGGACTGTTATCTCCCTGTCTCCCTCCCGATGCTGCTCGATTGGGAGAGGGCCTTCTGGGCACAGCCTGACCTTTCTCAATTGGAGACTCTGAGGAATGCCGCAAGTGGATGATTTTTCTAGCTTGCTTGTAGAGAGTGGCCGCCTCCTCTATCTCAGGGTCTACCTCCAGCTGAGGCTCATGGTGGCTAACCCTGGAACTAGCAGAGATATCACGCCGTACAGTCCGGGCAGGAGACATGCTGCTAGAGCCCTGGGGCAGGTTGCCTCTGCTGGGTAGGACTGACACAGAATGCATGGAGGCACGCATCTTCTGAGATGCCGTAGCCCTCTTGGGAATAGGGGATCGACCTCTACTTGCAACCCCATCATCTACGTCGCTAACTGTGAGGCTCTGTGCACCTTCAAAGGAATTGTCCAATAAGACTTCAAGAGGAGGGGGTGGCAGACTTTCTAGGTCCAAGTCATCTGTCCTACAACTGCTGACCCCACAGCTCAGTATGGCTTCAATGTCACCTACTCCAGGCATAACAGGGACACCACACTTTCGAACCCCTTTGAGAGGCCCCAACACTTTGGATGCTTCTTGGTTGGGCTCTAACACCCCCTGGCTGAAGGTATCAATCAGCCTTTTGACAGAATTCCTCCCCCGGTACAGTCCTGAGGATGGACGATGTGACAATGGAGGGCTTGGAGGTGGGGTGGCTTTCAATGGCCCCAATGTAGGGCTAGGAGGTGGGGTGGCTTTCAGTGGCCCCTTGATGGTTTTCTTGTCTTTCTTTTTATTTTCCTCCTCAATGTCCTTGCCTGCCCTCTGTTCCCTGGAGTGATGCTTCGTAAGCCCTGCCTTGTCCTGGATTGGAAGATTGTTGTTGTTCTTCTGCAGGGTCGGGCATAGACGATTGGATGCTGGGGACTTCGCAGCATCTCCTGGCTTCTGTTTACTGAGACCTGTCTTGGTATTTCCCTCCATCCTGCCGTTGCTCATCCTCTCTAATCTCTGACTCAGATCCCTCTGTGTCCTCTCTAGTTCAATCAGTGTTGGATCTTCACCTTTGCTACGAAGGGATTCTGCAGATTGTGAACGGTGTTCTTTAGGAACAGGGGTCTTTTTAATTGCCCTCCGTACAGAGGCTGCTCGTTGGGGCCTTTTTGGTGATCGCTCCCCCTGCTCTGTCCACTGGCACCTGGTCTTGGGGCTGTCTGTTGGTTTAGTTTTGGCACTGTCACGTTGTGAGGGAACAAATCGAATCCGACCACTTATGGAATCTTTCATTTTCAGGGTCATTTCCACATTTTGAGGGTTTTCTATGCGCTTGGGTGCCAGGCGACAAGGTTGCTGGTTAGGATCAGATAGTGAGGCATTAGATCGCTTCCTGCCGCCTTCACCCTCTTCTTCCCCCTCATCATCATCATCCTCCTCCTCACCATTGTCTAAGGAGGCAGATCCTTTACCCATTATGGTGCACACCGAGTCTATGGAGTTTAGGGAGTTGCTGGGGCTCATTTTTTTAACAAACTTTTGCCTTGGTGCCCCTTGCTGGACTGGGCTAGTATTGCTGCCAATAGGACTGTAAGGAGTGGTTCGGTTGGACCCAGTGGACTCACAGCTTTCACGGCGGAGTCGTCTTTCAGACCCAGCTAGTGACTCGCTTTCAGCCCCAATTCCACTGTCCTCACTGAACAATGCAGAGTCCTCTGGTCCGGGCTTACGAAGTGAGGCAGCCTCAATACGAGTCAGCAACTGCATCAGTCTTGTCTCCGCCGCATGCTTGGCTTTTAATTTCTCCTCCAGCAGCTCAGAGACAGAGGTAAAGTACTCAGCTGCGTCCTCCAAGGCAGAGTCCCCAATGTCGCCCACAGACTGGCCCACATTTCGCATCCTTTGAGTGGTATACTGAAGTAGCTGCTGCAAGAGATCTGGTGGAGGCTCAGCATTGATGGAACCAGATTTGAGAGGGGGAGAACTGGATAGGTTTTTCATTGGGCTTGGCCAGGCTAGATGCTCCCCATTGTCCTTCAGAAGCCTTTCACCCTGGTCTGCCATTTCCTCCAGCCCTCGGTTGATTTCCTCGTAGCGCATAGCCATGAAGGTCACCATTGGCTGCACAGACACCTGGGTTTGGGTTGCCTGGTCCAGTAACCCCAGTAGAATCTCATATTTGCTAATGCTTGGGTTTAAAAAGGCATAAGCAGCCTGGTGGGCTTTCACTAAAGGTTCCGGAAAGTCAACTTTCTGCTCCACAAGGGGAGCTTTTTTCTCCTTCTCTTTCTTTTTAGTTGGTTTGACTCCTTTGACATTTTTCTTTGGCTTTCGTCCACCCTTTTCTTGCTTATCTCCTTGTTTCTCTTTTCCATGTTGCCCTGTGTTATCTGTCTCTTGAGTCCCCACTTTTTTATCCAGGATGACCCCCTCTGGAACCAACACGGTCAGGGAGGGTCTCTTTTTCTGTGGGGTTGAAGGTGCTTCCTTCTGAACAGAGTGGGTCTGCCCAGCCAGTCCCCTTTCCCCATCTCTCCTCTCCCAAGTCTCTCCATCAATGTCTCCTGTTCCGGAGGAGCCTCCACTCCCTCCATCATCAGACTGGGACTCCCCTGTGCTCTCTTTGCCCTCTGGTAATAATGTCCTGCCCCTCCTAAAGGTGCCATTAGCCCCAAAATTGTTACCTTTAGATGGGGAACATCCCATTGCAGCTGCTCAATTGATGTTTATATCCTTAGTGAACAAGATCTTGATGAAACTCCCACAAAGACGGAAGGAAAGAAACCTCCACAAATGAAAGAAAATAATAGCCAAGGTCCTTAGCCACCAGCTGCAGCTGTCATTTTCAAATGTCTCCAATCCCCGACAGAGTTGTTGAGTCTGGCAGGTTCTTTATCCTTACAAAAAATACATCAACCAACACATAACAGCTACAAATCCACAAATCCACAAATCCATTGGACAAATCCATTTCAAATGTCCCATTTTCTCGCCTATCATAGATAGACTACAATGACATGTCCGCATATCCATTTTCATGTTTTTCTGTTGATTCCCTTTGCATAACGTCAACATAGTGCAGCTTGACCTATGGAACAACATCCCTGTGTACCTTGTAGAGGACGAGCAGCTGAAAGGATTAGATAGTCTTTTAGTGAACTCCACAGTATGCACATATGGCACATCAAAGCAAAGTAAAACTCACACACTTCTAAGACCTTAAGCTCATTAAGGTAATCAGGGCTGCTTTCAGGTGGCTTTTTATAGAACACACAACAATATCTCTCTGTTTACTGCCCCAGTCAAACTCAATGGACTGCCAAAGGATATTGTAAATACACTTCCAAGTAACATGGACTGAATGTTCAAAATCAACTCCTACATTCTTATTGTTATTTCAAGTATTACAAATGAATAAATTGTGGGGTTTTCAATTGAACTCAAACCCAAAGACTTTGATCATGCATATCATTATGTAATCCACAGTATACATGCAATCAATAATTGTGTATGTTTGTAAAATCAGGCTACTCATCACAAGGATAATAACCGTGAAATATTGCTTCATACAAGACTCATCAAGTTTAATATTTCCCCACTGCCATGTATTATCACAGTGATACTGACACTCACGTTAACACTGTTTGCCAAGAGTGCTGAGGTCAAGTTGACTGTCAGACAGCGAGACCATCCCATTCCTCCACAGGTTGATAGTGATCTCTTTCATTGTATTTGTTCCCCTGTTTACATTGTTGGCTGTTACTGTAAATGTTACAGTGTGGTCATCTCTGATGGGCTAAATAATGCTTTGTCTTCATAACAAATACATTTTATTGTACTGTTATATACCTTATACGTTCATATTTTTAATATTTGTGTTAATTTTAAAGTACATTTATTATGTTACAATCTTTTTGTGATTCTCCACCCATTGACTTGTACAATAGTACAATTATAGTATACAGTTGAAGTCGGAAGTTTACATACACGTAGGTTGGAGTCATTAAAACTTGTTTTTCAACCACTACACACATTTCTTGTTAACAAACTATAGTTTTGGCAAGTCGGTTAGGACATCTACTTTGTGCATGACACAAGTAATATTTCCAACAATTGTTTACAGACAGATTATTTCACTTATAATTCACTGTATCACAATTCCAATGGGTCAGAAGTTTACATACATTAAGTTGACTGTGCCTTTAAACAGCTTGGACAATTCCAGAAAATGATGTCATGGCATTAGAAGATTCTGATAGGCTAATTGACATCATTTGAGTCAATTGGAGGTGTACCTGTGGATGTATTTCAAGGCCTACCTTCAAACTCAGTGCTTCTTTGCTTGACATCATGGGAAAATCAAAAGAAATCAGCCAAGACCTCCACAAGTCTGGTTCATCCTTGAAGGTACCACGTTCATCTGTACAAACAATAGTACACAAGTATAAACACCATGGGACCACGCAGCCGTCATACCGCTCAGGAAGGAGACGCGTTCTGTCTCCTAGAGATGAACATACTTTGGTGGGAAAAGTGCAAATCAATCCCAGAACAACAGCAAAGGACCTTGTGAAGATGCCGGAGGAAACAGGTAGAAAAGTATCTATATTCACAGTAAAACGAGTCCTATATCGACATTACCTGAAAGGCCGCTCAGCAAGGAAGAAGCCACTGCTCCAAAACCGCCATAAAAAAGCCAGACTACGGGTTGCAACTGCACATGGGGACAAAGATCGTACTTTTTGGAGAAATGTCGTCTGGTCTGATGAAAGAAAAATTGAACTGTTTGGCCATAATGACCATCATTATGTTTGGAGGGAAAAGGGGGACGCTTGCAAGCCGAAGAACACCATCCCAACCGTGAAGCACGGGGGTGGCAGCATCATGCTGTGGGGGTGCTTTGCTGCAGGAGGGACTGGTGCACTTCACAAAATAGATGGCATCATGAGGAAGGAAAATGATGTGGATATATTGAAGCAACATCTCAAGACATCAGTCAGGAAGTTAAAGCTTGGTCGCAAATGGGTCTTCCAAATGGACAATGACCCCAAGCATACTTCCAAAGTTGTGGCAAAATGGCTTAAGGACAACAAAGTCAAGGTATTGGAGTGGCCATCACAAAGCCCTGACCTCAATCCAATAGAAAATGTGTGGGCAGAACTGAAAAAGCATATGCGAGCAAGGAAGCCTATAAACCTGACTCAGTTACACCAGTTCTGTCAGGAGGAATGGGCCAAAATTCACCTAACTTACTGTGGGAAGCTTGTGGAAGGCTACCCGAAACGTTTGACACAAGTTAAACAATTTAAAGGCAATGCTACCAAATACTAATTGAGTGTACAGTGAGGGAAAAAAGTATTTGATCCCCTGCTGATTTTGTACATTTGCCCACTGACAAAGAAATGTTCGGTCTATAATTTTAATGGTAGGTTTATTTGAACAGTGAGAGACAGAATAACAAAACAAAAAATCCAGAAAAACGCATGTCAATATTTTTATAAATTGATTTGCATTTTAATGAGGGAAATAAGTATTTGACACCCTCTCAATCAGAAAGATTTCTGGCTCCCAGGTGTCTTTTATACAGGTAAAGAGCTGAGATTAGGATACAGGTAACAAGCTCCTAATCTCAGCTTGTTACCTGTATAAAAGACAACTGTCCACAGAAGTAATCAATCAATCAGATTCCAAACTCTCCACCATGGCCAAGACCAAAGAGCTCTCCAAGGATGTCAGCGACAAGATTGTAGACCTACACAAGGCTGGAATGGGCTACAAGACCATCGCCAAGCAGCTTGGTGAGAAGATGACAACAGTTGGTGCGATTATTCGCAAATGGAAGAAACACAAAATAACTGTCATTCTCCCTCGGTCTGGGGCTCCATGCAAGATCTCACCTCGTGGAGTTGCAATGATCATGAGAACGGTGAGGAATCAGCCTAGAACTACACGGGAGGATCTTGTCAATGATCTCAAGGCAGCTGGGACCATAGTCACCAAGAAAACAATTGGTAACACACTACGTCGTGAAGGACTGAAATCCTGCAGCGCACGCAAGGTCCCCCTGCTCAAGAAAGCACATATACAGGGCCGTCTGAAGTTTGCTAATGAACATCTGAATGATTCAGAGGAGAACTGGGTGAAAGTGTTGTGGTCAGATGATTCCAAAATCGAGCTCTTTGGCATCAACTCAACTCACAGTGTTTGTAGGAGGAATGCTGCCTATGACCCCAAGAACACCATCCCCACCGTCAAACATGAAGGTGGAAACATTATGCTTTGGGGGTGTTTTTCTGCTAAGGGGTAGGACAACTTCACCGCATCAAAGGGACTATGGACGGGCCATGTACCGTCAAATCTTGGGTGAGAACCTCCTTCCTCAGCCAGGGCATTGAAAATGGGTCGTGGATGGGTATTCCAGCATGACAATGACCCAAAACACACGGCCAAGGCAACAAAGGAGTGGCTCAAGAAGAAGCACATTAAGGTCCTGGAGTGACCTAGCCAGTCTCTAGACCTTAATCCCATAGAAAATCTGTGGAGGGAGCTAAAGGTTTGAGTTGCCAAACGTCAGCCTCGAAACCTTAATGACTTGGAGAAGATCTGCAAAGAGGAGTGGAACAAAATCCCTCCTGAGATGTGTGCAAACCTGGTGGCCAAGTACAAGAAACATCTGACCTCTGTGATTGCCAACAAGGGTTTTGCCACCAAGTACTAAGTCATGTTTTGCAGAGGGGTCAAATACTTATTTCCCTCATTAAAATGGAAATCAATTTATTACATTCTTGACATGCGTTTTTCTGGATTTTTTTGTTGTTATTCTGTCTCTCACTGTTCAAATAAACCTACCATTAAAATTATAGACTGATCATTTCTTTGTCAGTGGGCAAACACAAAATCAGCAGGGGATCAAATACTTTTTTCCCTCACTGTATGTAAACTTCTGACCCACTGGGAATGTGATTAAAGAAATAAAAGCTGAAATAAATCATTCTCGCTAATATTATTCTGACATTTCACATTCTTAAAATAAAGTGGTGATCCTAACTGACCTAAAACAGGGAATTTTTACTTGGATTAAATGTCAGGAATTGTGAAAAACAGAGTTTAAATGTATTTGGCTAAGGTGTATGTAAACTTCCGACTTCAACTGTATGCGCTTGCTTATTCATGGTTGATTTTTGCCAAATACTTTTGAATATTTGAATAATAAGTAACCTTAGAATCAAGTAAACCATTATAACTACAGCGACAAAACAGTGTGCTATGATGTTTTCGACTACAATTAAACCTGAAGTGAAGACTGTGGTAACACTATACCTTAAGTGTACATTAATTAATATGTAACTAAATAGTAATACATGTATTTATAACATAGTAGTTACATGTAATTACTATGTAAATACTATGTAAGTACACTATAATAAGGGTTTTGTGGTATAGGTTATTACACAAGTGGAACCAGGACACGTAATTACAAATCTGCTTGTCAGAGGTTATTTCACATGTGTAATTACTCCTGATTTATGTATATGTAATTACAAGATGTCTTGTTCCAAATGTAACTAATATGTTCTCTAATTACAATTTTGCAGTTTCCGTCAGCTGTTGTAAGAATGCACACCCTATCATTGACTACAGCTTCAGTTATCTTACTTACATATTATTTGGCTTAAAGGATGTACTGAATTAAATATAAGAGCAAG